AGAACAGATTACCATGCTGGCTGGTTGGGCATGGCACTCTGTCCTGCACTTTGGATGTGTGGGAGCTCTGGGAACTAAACAGCCCAAGCACATACCAGTAGGCCTGATGGAGCACTTAGCAGCAGCTCCTTTAACATTCTGCCTCCCTGAGAGAGGAGAAAGCCAAGCTGCCCCACAGCTAATGAGCTGCCAGACTGTTCTCAGCTGCTATTGAATCATTTGCTGTCTTCTGTGAAAATAAAGAACCAAAGCTGAAAGGTCAATGGCTCTAAAATGGCCAGGCTGATAAAAGACTTGAGAGTCCAGAGAAAGCATCATCCTGCAGACAGGGCATCTCTGTAGTCTCCATCCTGCTTAAATACAGTTGTTTTCACCATCAGGAAGTAGAACATGAATATTTCCTATTCTGTAAAAAACTCCTTAAACATAAAACTGCTAGATCCACCTCTTGTAGTGCAAGCTTTCATCTCAACTGTTGCTTGTATGCTGGAGTAAAAAATTAGTCCCTCAGCTTTCAATTCCTTGGACAAGAGTAGCACGTTTCTTCTGTTGAACACAGACAAGAGGGGCTTTAAAGCATTTTCATGGTTTGATTGCCATTTCTGCATTGGAGGTATTTTGTTTTTCTTTATGCCAAAAGGAGTTTCCTCAAAGCTGTGGTTTATTACTTGAAAGGTGATATTTTTCAGTGAAGCAACACAACACAAAATCCATGACTTTTTAATCAACAGTGCTAGTGTATTTTCTTCCCTTTAAGAATTAGTTCTGCAAAAGGACAAGCCCACTAACCACCTTAGGAGAAAGACTAAGCCAGTTCTAATGATCTCCCAGGGAAATAAAAAATGAAGTGCCTTGTATCATTTGCTTGATCTTCAATTATTATTTAATTACTCTACTGATAGGCTCTTATTGTCTCTATTGGACAATTTCAGATGACTGCTTTTGTTATTCTTTGCCTAATTTGTCTCAAATGCTTCAATTGTGGACTCAAAGAAAAAAAAAGAGAAAAAAAAAAAGGATGTAAACCACCTTTCAAAAAGAGATTTTCTTAAATTCTGTTAAAACATCGTGATCCCAGGTTGCTTTGTTGTGTTCTTCAGCAGAGATGCAGCTGCAGAGGTTCCTAAGTGGTACCCAGGTTAAGCTGGGGGAAAAAGTACACTGCTGTGAGTGCACCTTCCCTTCAAAACCCAGCCAATCTCCCTTGCATACCAGGAATGGCTCACTGAGTCAAGGCAATGCTGAAGTAATGGCAAGCTATGCTGTCATAGTTCCGATTTTAGCAAGGAATTTTTCTTTCCCTTCCCCCTGCCGTGTGTGCTCTGTGTATAGGTCATCAGGTGAACAAAAGAATAGGCTCGGTCCACTAATGGGCAAGAGATCAGTCGCCTAGGAAACAGGCAGATGAAGGATCTAAAGTCTACTTTTTTTTTTCTCGTCTCCGGGGCAAGGGGGGATGAGAAATTTCAGTGGCCTGGGGGGGTGGCTGGCACGCAAGTTGGGAGGAGAGGCTGGTGTGCTGGTGGGCTTGGGACCTGCTGTGAGCTGTAGACGCTGCCTGTTTTTTTTTTTTTCTGTCAGAGGGGAGTTTGCTACTGCTCTCTGTTTAGCTATTGCTGGCTGCAGGCCCTGCTTAAAGCGAACCCTAACTAGCTGAAGATCGTGCGTTTTCTTCCACTGGGAGAACTTTCTGTTTTATTGCTGTTTTTTTCTTCCCCCTTTCCCCCTCCATTCCCTCTCTCCTTTCCCAGTGTGGGAAGGGAAGGGGAACCGAGGTTTTTTTTTTGGTTTTTGGTTTGTTTTTTTTTTTTTCCCTCCAACATACCTGGAGGGAATTGTTTTTCCCCCATCCCATGCGGCAGTGACCAGGGATCCCACAGCGCCGCCTGGTGAATGCTACAGGACATTACAAGTTCTACATCTCCGGTGACCCGACAGCACCCCCTGCTGACTGTGGTTGGAATTGCACCAAAGGGTGCAAAAAACTGAACTGTTTTACTCTTTTGCCAGTTTATCGGTTTGTTTTTGAAGGGGTTATTTGTGGGTATAGGAGTGTTGTTTGGTTGTTTTACTTGGGTTTTTTTTGTGTTTCTGTTAAGACACATATACCTTTTAATAAAGGGCTGATATTTTCCTTTTTCCATAATTTGTTTTCCTTCAATTGAAGCCTCCTAATTTTGGATTTATAATTGCTTAGAAAGAGAAGTTTGGGTCTTTTCTCCTAACCCATCCTCAGCAAAAGACCCTTGTCTCATTTAAACTGGGACATATGCTCAGCACAATCTGCAGTGTCAGAAGCTGGTCTTTGCAAATTAGAACTGGTAAATAATAAAAGAAGCAACAGCAGCAGTAATAAGAGCAGAGTGACACAACTAAGCTGTTTATTAAAAAAAAAAAATTATGCAAATCTGTCTTCTTGTACTAATGTGCTTCAACAATGATAGTCTCATTTTTAAGTGCTCTAGTGAAAATTTTTTATATCAAATTGCCTTCAATCATCCATCATTACTCCATAATGTGATAATGGGGAGAGACCAAGGCAGGCAAATGAAACAATCTAAGCTGCTGAGGTGGGAAAGCCTCTCAAAGCTGCAGGTGAGAGTACAGTTTTCAAGGCTGGTATACCACGGATATGGTGCAAACACAGAGCAAAAGCAGGAAGAGAGTGAAAAGCTACACTCTGAAAGCTGGGGCTGGGAAGGAATGAGTAGACTGCAGGATGAATTGAGTAGCTGCTTTTGAATGAAACACTGAGCAGTACATCCTTCTTCAGAACTACCAGTAGTGGTAGGGAAGTGGTGGTTCCCTGCTTCACTGAGGAGGTAATGAGCTCATATACTGGGCTTTTTACAGCTCCAGGATTTCTTATCCCTCTGCCTCCATTGTGAGGAATAAACTTCATGTTTTCACTTGGGATTGAACTTTATTCAAGAGAAAAAGTCTAGATATAATTAACTTATCATTCTTTTGGCTCGTCTCCAAATCCAGCAGTGGTTTTTGATTTTCCTGTTCATTTAGAAGGTTGTTTTTTACCTAATAAATTCCTATGTTGAGATCAAACTGGTGACTGAGTACCAGCCAGGAGAAGGGTAGTGACTGGCATTGCAGGAAGGAGCATTAAATTAAGCAATAAACTGTGCTTTAGTGATACTAATGCTAGAAAAACTCTCACTTAAAGCAGACTAATAGAGTACATGTGGTGTGTTGGAAGGCTGATGCTCCTATTAGCAAACCTGACAGGCTTTTGAACTGGGTTTTGGACACCAAAGATGAGACACATTGGAAAAAAAAAATTCCCACAAGACTAAAGACCTTTTATCAGTGGTGTACATGCTTTTTTATTAATAATACAATAACAAGGTATTAGTTACAAGTGCTTGGCATTCCAGGTGACCTGTATCCTGAGAGACATGAGGGTTTAAAGGCAGTAACACCCCCCCAACCAAGGTGACAAGGTCACTTGACAAAGTCAGCTGACAAAGCTGACAAAGTCATTTCACTTGCTGGCTCTATCACCCTACGGGGAGTAGCAAAGCCCAATACATATTACTAAAATCTTCATGCAAACATACTGGAGGGAAATTGAGTTGGCAAGAGGTGATTTTTCTTCCAAACTTCCCTTTTGTTTCATTTAAGAGACAGCAAAGTTAGGGAAGGTGGAATAATCATCCTGAAAATTTTTAATTCATGACCACTATAGGTTTCACAGGGTTCCTTAATTAACAGCCTAGAAATTATACTGCCCCACCATCCTGAGCTTAGAAACAGAGCAGCACCCAAGAGGAAAGGCACCATTTATGATTCCTTTTGCTGCCCGCACTGTGGTATGTCAGGGCACTGCTGTGCAAACCATGGTAATAAATGACAAGGAGCAGCAGCCCATAGTTTGGAGCTGCCTCATAAAGCAGTGAGTGACACATCATGAAGTTCTGGCTTTTGAGGGAGCCCTTTCACCTTAGCAAATGCAAAAATAAACATACCAAGCAATCTACTGAATTGCCAGGAAAAGATATCTTGAGTAACAAATGTAGTCTGGGAGAACTTCATGACATGGCAGTTAGTCTTCAAAAAAAAAATTGTCCAAGTGCATTTCAGATTCAAATGGATTTAGAAATATTATATTTACCTTAAGTATGTCGCAGAGGTCTGGACTAACAGCTTTTACCTTCATTATGTACTTTGAGACAAGAGTCAGCCATTCAGCAGGTCACTTACCAGCACAGCCCTGCATTTAGGACTCTACTGTCATAAGAAAAAGTAACTTAAATCCCTACAGTTACCTGGCAAAAATCTCACCCTTCATAAGATTCAAGATGTGCATTTCACACCCTGATCTCAGAATAATGACTCATTTCATGTGTGTTCTTTTGTGCAGCAATTAGAGAAGTTTTGTTGTTAACTGATTTATCTGAACTTCCAAATACAACAGTTAGCAGATTTCTTAGGGTTCACAGTGAGCAGAACACAGATCCATGTTAATGCTTCCTAAGGGCTTTTAAAGAGCTGTAATCACTGCTGTGTTGCAGTCAGTGATTTTTTTATTATGTTAGTAAATCCATGTTGTTACAATACGTTGTGTGTCTCATCAAACATTTTAGAACATTTCCAAGGCTGGGCCTTAGCCAAGAGGATATCTTTAGATGTTTCAGTGTAGACCCAAGTTTAGGGCCCAGACTCTCAGTTCACATCAAATCATGACTTGATCATGGTGTAATGATGCTGATCAGGGATCTGGTACCATGTTTAAAAAGTTGTATATCATAAAACACAAGCAGTTTAGTAGTGGTCACACTCATCCCTGGCACAGGAGCACCTAAAGCCTCGTGAATGCACTATGATTTTGGGCAGGCTGGCACACTGAGCGATGCACTTTGGGACTGTGCTGTAGCTGGAAAGGATGAAGCAAAGTGCTCTGTTGAAAACAGGCCAGTACAAAACCATGAGAGTTTGTCACTGCAAGAAAATGGGTTTTGTTTGTTGGTTGTCTTTTTGTTTTTTTCCAACTGTGTGCTTCTAATTAATCCAACAGCATTTTCAAATAATTTAAGCAAGTGTTATCTTACAGATTTAGAGAAAAGCAAAACATTAACATATATAATTATTAAATAAGTGGGGGAAAAATGAAAAATCACCAGCAATTCAAGATAGTAACACACAAGGTGGCAAAATATTAGACTATTTCTATGCCTCTAAATTCACTCTTTCTATGCCTCTAAATTCACTCATGACTTGAACAGGATGGATTCTCTTCTTTGCAGAACCTTTTCTGACAGCAGCATAGACTTCTTCTGGCTTCTCTCTTTTAATGAGGGGCTTCTTCTCTGGAGCCTTCATTCTCCACATCACAACTGGATGTCGTGGGCCAGTAGGACTCTGAATCTTGATAATCTTTGTGGATGCAATATAGGACATCTTCACTGTCTGCACCACAGCATTCATTAGATTTTTGGCGGCCTGAATGAGCGAAGTGATGCTATCCAGCTGTAATAAGGAAAGGACACATTATCCTGGGAAGTCAGTTTGCTTTTAATCACAACGTCAACAGGAATAAACAAGTTAAAAAATAAGGCTTCCTAATTTTCCCTTGGTGTGTTTGAGCACTACATCCATGTTTCTCTGCTCAGATTTAAAGTGATATACAGAAATCTGTGCAGATGGAATATATAATTGCTTATGTAGATAACGTTCGTAGTTTTCTTGGGTTTTAATGTGAATTCATGGTGCTTGTCTGCAGAGTTTCAGTGCAATTACTACAGGTGGCTAATGAAACCAACTCAAAGAAGAGCTGTGAAAATCTGACCTGTTACTTCCCTTGGTTCAGCACTAGGAAAGGTCTCCAGCTGCTTCCTGTCACATTCCAGGCTCCCATACATGCTTGTGAGCAATGCTGGGATACTACAGAGTGCCTGGCTTTGTCAGGAGCCAAGTCAGCAGCCAAGATCTGTAAGGGTAAGACCAGAATAGCACACAGAAATCACAGTGACTGTGTGGCCTCAACTGTTTAAGGAGTGCCAATCTAAGAGGTAGAATGTAGAATAAACTAATCCCCGTTACTGCTACCACCTTCAGCAGCACACTGTACAGGCCTGCAAGTGGTCCAGCAAAGGTATTTTCAATCAGTACTCATGGAAACAGAAAACAATAACACCAAGGAAGCTTACTATGGTTTGTATGTTAAAAATAGTAGGACTAATCTAATATAACTGGAGAGCCTACAATTAACCTTCTAAACATCCCATTTATTGGAGCATTTGCCTTCTGTAAAAGCACTGAGGCCAGTTCTCTAAATGGCCATGGGTTTAGTGGGCAGTGATCCTGTGCTTTGCCATCCAGTCCAACCCCACGGCCTTTGGTAATACACAGTTTTGCAAACTGAGTCATTAGGAAAGGTTTCAAGGGCTTCTCCCCTTTGCCAGGTGAAATGAATTGAGCAGGTTCTCACCTGGAGTGTGTTATTGTCTGTCTTCATCATTATTGTGTAATACTTAGGAACACGTTGGTTATGTAACACAAATGCAAATAAAGCAGAAATAAAAAATACAGCCAAGTGTCTGGATTTAGATGCAATTTGGAAACATAAGAAAACCCAGTTAATACAACATTTACTGCTCCTCTCTGGAAGTGCCAGCTTCCCCCCCCCAACCCCTTACTACTTCCACCCCACAGTTAAAACAGTTAGAGACCTGGTTGAATGCACACCTATATGTGATGGTGAACTAAAATTATCTCTATGTTCCAAGAAAAGGTGTAACATTTCCCAGATGGCTGCTAAAGTTCATTCCTGGTTGCTGCACATGAGCTCAAAACTTCAGCTGGATTTTTTTTGTGACTTCAGTGTAACTGTGAAACATGGATAATGAAGTGGGATGCTTTCAGGTGAGGGTTACAATTTACTTGGCCTTTCCTCTCCTGTGAAAACTGAACAGTTACCCTTGTTCTGGCATCTAGGGCTCCTTTCACAAAAATGGTTGTAGCTGTGAAACAGCCTACAGCTCCCTCACCCCACCACTGTGACCAATAAAACTGTATTTTTATTCTTAAACTATAATCATATATATCTACTAAAAACAACAAATAAACTTCATGGGTCCCTAATTTTGGTGACATTATAACTGGAAACCAATATGTGGAATGTCAGCCTCACAGTCTGACACAGGCTCTGGGAGCGGACACCTGCCAAGTCCAGCATTTTAAATGCTGAAAGTCCAAAGTCTGACTTCCAAACCCAACTGTACCAATCTGAAGTGGCTGAATTCCACTGCCCCTTGTCATGCCAGAGGAACTGAACCTCTGCCACACTTTTTCAGCTCTACAAAAGATGGATGCCCTGAGATACAAACAGGCTTGCAGATACCTAAACCAAAGATATAAGAAATAGCTCCTGTGTGTCCCCTGCTAGCGGGCAGATGACCTACAGACCACTAAGAATGTTTAAATAAGGGGGGGTGCAGTTTAAAATAGGGTGCTGTAGTTACCATGGAGGTGGGGGGAGGTAGGTGTGTAAGTGGTGTATGTCAGGACAGGCAGCAATCCACAGTAATTTTGCTTTCCTCTTGGCATAGGCAGTGACAGACAGGGAGACTTCAGGCTCTGCAGCATCCTAATGTCCCTCAGCTCTCTGGATGCATCTCATACTTGTTTTCTCAACAGGAAGGCGGCAGAGGTGGTGGGGCTATTAACTGCATTTAATATTTTGGAGAAGCTTTTAGAAGATGTTCTTGGACACGTGCTACAGATTGTAAGAATCAGGCCATTCATTGATTTTTTATTTTTTTTTTGTCTCTAGAGAGCAGTTGTTTTTATACCTCAATGCCAGTAGCATTATAGAATTTGGTGGAAATCTGTTGTTCTTCTGTAAAACTGATGTACTCAAGGACTGTCTTTGCTTGGATGCTTTTATCTCAGATATTCAGCAGGCTCTCCAAGGTCTCATATCCAGGAAAACTGATGAAATGAAACTTGGCATAAATGAAAAACTGAAAAAATATTCATTGAGTGTTTAAGTTCATTTCATTTAGAGAAATGTAGCTGCAAACTCTTCAGTGCACAGCAAGTGGTACAAAAAGTTTCAGTAGAAAAACAAACCCCAAACTTAAAGCTGCTTTCTTTTTTGCCTGACACCACTCTTACTCTTTCCGCATTTTCCACGGAGGTGCAACATTCCAGCCTCCACATTTCACAGGTCTGATTGTATCAGTTAAGAATGATTAAAGGCCTTAGGAAAAACATCCTTTGCCATATCTTTCCTCACCTGTCCTTTTAGTTTCCATTGCAAAAGGAATACAGAATAATTCTAAAACAGTGATTGTACAATCCCACTGGGGTGAAACACAGAAGATATAGATCTGGTCATATTTTTTGGGGGGGGGAAAAACCCCAATCATCCAAGCCGCCACCACCACCAAAAATCCTACTGGCAGTACTCCTGCTGAAATAAACTCCCGCCTCCAGCACTTTTATTCCTCCTCTGCAATGAGTCCTGAATGTAAGTAAGCAAACTCTCCAATGAATAACAAAGCTGAAGAAAAGGGAGTTTAGAGGGGAAAAAAAAAAAAAAAGGAAAAGAATTTTGAAACTTTACTTTCAATTTGTTTGCATGCATTGTATTTTTCTCATTTTTCATAAAATAATTTCATGTCTCAGCAGTAGTAGCAATCCATTACTATAACAAAAGGTTGAACAGTATTATAACTGATAGGGTCAGTTATTTTTAATATTCAGAGTGATTAGAGAATTGTGACCTAGAATTTGAAGAAACTTTTTTACTGTCGAAGTATTTTCTGTTCAGTGCCCTAAGAAATGCTTGCCTTGCCACGTGTCACCAGGAGTCGTTTCTATAGCAGTCAAACATAAAATTTTCCTATTCCCAAAGCACCTAAATAAGCCAGCGTCCCACTCCCATTCTTTGCACAGATTTGCAAATGCTGCCTCTTTGCCATAAAGAAGGGACAGACTTTATTCCTTTCCTCTGGAATAAAGCTGTGAGAGACTGCATAGTACTCACAAAGCGTTCTATATGTACTGTGCCAGTGTCTGCAGCCCCACCTGGGACACCCTGACTGCTCTGCTGTGATCATTCTCATTTTTCTTTACAGGGAACTAAGGTTTTGCTATTTGAGAACAGATTATCAGTTGGCTCTTTACCATCTTCCAAGTTGTATTTGCACTTCAACCAGACTTCTGGTTTTCATACAGGTGGGAGCTAAGAACTGAATGTAAAATACACAGTTCATCTGAAGTCTGAACTTAAAATTGTTTTGGAAACAAGGTCAGTTATTAAAAATTAATCTTAATTAAACCACAAAGTTTCTTAAATACATTCCTAGAAGCAAATCTCCTTTGTTACACTATACTGAGAGACTAAGACTGAATTTTTATTTCTTTGACAGCTCAAACTAACATGAATTCTGCATTTCTGTAAAGAGCAATGAGTGTTTGAGTAGTGCTGCATTTAAGGTAAGGAGTATTTACTACATTGTGCTTTCAATTTTAGTCCTGCATTTTTACTATGCTTTTACTATTTTTTTTGTGAATTATTTTATGGTTCTTTCACTAAGGTTGATACATAAAATAAAATGATTTAATCCCTTAAGATTAAAAGTAGCAGAAAATCCAAACAGGTGAATTATTAAGAGTGAAATCTTGACTGTTGAAGACATCAGAGTTTTTCCTTGTCCTTGGCCAGGATTTGAACACTAGTTACTTGCCTTGTTTTCTGAGCCCTAGTAGTGATAATTTCATTTTAATAAATCATGATGTAACAGTGGCACTCAAAGATGGGTGTTAAAGAAAGCACAGAAAAAAGCTAGAAGCACTTCATTACCTACCACATTTCTTCATACAACCTCATTAAACATACAACTTCATAGATTTCAATCCCAGTACAGGTTGTATAGAAAATAAGCCAAAGGGAGACTTGCCATCATGAGTCTTTTTACCTGGAAACTGTTCACCTCTGCTGTGCCATGTTCTCCCTTAGGATATTGGAGATATTTCATCCCCATTCATGGAACTGGCCTCAGGAAATCTGCTTCACCTTTTGGGTTGTTTATTTTCAATGACCTGAGTTTTCCTAAAAATGTGGCTATCCAGTTGGTTATCTATGTCTGTCTGTTCATCCAATAATTGCATTTTATACCTCAAGAGTTCCTGGGGTTTGATCTGTGTTTTAGCCATTTTTCAGGTGGGGAAATTGAATCTAATGAACTAAATAACCAACCACGACCAGAATCTGCTTCAGGCTAAGTACGATTCAAAGAACTGAAACTGAGTCCTATAATTAGACCAGGCCTGTACCCAAGTTAAATGATAAACAACTTACATTAAGGACTGTAAAACTGTTCCTCTGCAACACCATAATGGAGCAGATGCTTAGCCAGGCTGTTATCTTGGTCCCTCCAAAGTGCTCACTTCCGGGGAGGTTTTAAAAAAAAGGAATCTAATTTTTTTTTAAAAAAACAGGTCTCAGGAAAAATCCTTTA